ATAAACATTGTCGGTGAAATAATTGTCGGTGAATTCGTGTTGATGAAAACATTGTCGGTGATTTTAATGTAACCCTATATGTATATGTGGTTTTTATTAGTGTATTTGTGCTCTTATTATTATAATATTAATGTAAATGCAGATTATCAAAAAGCAACAAGCGATTTCAGGTAGAATAAAAATATACGTATCAACTTTCTGTACATATCTTTCTAGAGCGATCTTTTTATGTGTTTATCATAAGAATTATAAGATCAAGTGTAATGCATCTCTATAAATGTTGCTTGTTACTTTGTTTAACTTAAATAATAGCAAATATTAAAAAGAAAGTTCAATCAGACAAAAAACATCAAATCTTTCTATATAATGACTGTTAACAATTTTATTCCGCGAGAGAAAAGAAAAAGTTTCTATTTCTTTCTTTTTTGTGTGTCTCGCGCGTTTTACATATTTTATACTTATAAATAGAAAAATAAGAAAATAAGTTTTTTTTTTCAGAAGCGCGCGCTTTGTTGTATCGTGTTGTGCTGCTCCGTATTCGTATTGCTAAAGACATTATCGTGATTGCGTGGATCAGCTGTTTGACAAAGCAGCCGGAAGAGAGTAAAAACACAGAGGAAAAAAATAAACACAGACAAAAAAGAAGCTTTATTCTTCTCTCACAGAAATCTAATTATTGGAAGTTCGTATGTATACACAAGAAATAGTTTTATATTATTTTTGTTTAGAGCTCAGGTGGAGGCGCCGGTGCTTCGTGGCAGCCAACAGCCTCGGGTTTCTAAAAATTACGTACTGGGTATGTCTTGATGGCCATACCCCGCCACAAGCCGACAATAATAGCCGACGTGACGCGCTATCGAAGTAGCGAGGACCCTTTTTTATCGTGCTCGTTGTGCGGCACCTTCCTATGAATCCTGATTGTTAAAACTTGAATACGAGAGATAAGCTAGCATGGTCGGCCATCTATTGTACATTTGGGAAACTATCATCCATGATATACGTATATATATATATATATACACACATATATATATATGTATATATATTGTAAATGTACGTGCGATGATCGCATACAAATCTCTTTCGCATTATGGATTTATTTGTTTCGCGAAAAATAAATAACACTTTCTATTACTTGCAATCGATATTCGATATTACAAGTAAATAATTCTCGACGCGGCGTATAAAATATATTTATTATACACTTTAAATATCTAGTCTATTTTAGTAGCTTTGCGCGTGCATGTATACAACGTCTTTACTTATATTTTTTATTTACTAGACTATGTAGACATGATGATGTTGTACATATTTTGAAGAAATTTGTTATTGTGTTTATGTTTTATAAACTGAAACAAGAAAGAGATATTATTTTGAATTTTAATAGACTTGTTTTATGTTCGGAATAAAATACCCAAGAATCAAAAATAATTATATAATTTCACTGTATAAACTTTATAATTCGAGTGAGAAAACAGGAACTTTAGTTTTACGTGTGTATTTTTTTTATAATAACAATATTAAATGTGTAACAGTATTACATGAGGGCACAAAAAGATAACTGTGTACTGTGAAAAATTTTATTGCTTGAAGATACAATACAAAGTTAGCCGTATGTACACTCGAACAAATAAACATTAGCGGAACATTAGAGGAACACGTTGAAAAAAGCAATTCCGGCAGTCTTGTGATTCAGTCGAGAATATTGATCACTTATTTATGACTAAGCAAGAAAAACTTAATATTTTTAGTTAATTTATCAGCATTGAATGTTAACAAAACTTAATGCTAGCTCTAAAATTTAGGGCATGCATTATTTCTGTCAACACACAATGTTACTAACAGATTACTATACGATAAAAATAAAAAAACTTTTTGTTTTCTCTCTCTCTCTCTCTCTCTCTCTCTCTCTCTCTCTTTCGTTCAGATGTAATAATGAAACATAATAAAATATAAAAAGCATAGATTTTTGGTAAATTTAACGTGATCAAAAAAAGTATTTGAAACGGCTTTGTTAAAAGAAATAAAAATAAAATTTAAGTAATTGCTAATTTAGACTATCGGCGTTTCAATATTTTTTCTGGCTAAGTTAAATCAAAAATTTATGTTCTTTATTTTTTTATTCTTATATCTAACAGAAATAAATAAATTTTTTTGTAATGTTTAACAGTAATTTGTTAATTTATATTATAGTAGTATTCTGTAAGTAATTTTATTTTTACGCGGTTTTTTTTGTAAAATTGTGATCAAATACTTTTGCAATACTGCTTTTTTATATGCCTCTTATCTAAAAGTAAAAAATTACACATGTGGTAAATAATGTCATTCTCTTGCAAACCGTTAAAGGGCTAAGATGCTAATGAAATGCACAAGAGTATGTAAATATAAAACGAATTAATTGTCAAAATCTATTATTGTGTAAGATAAACTTTTAGCACAATATAATCTTAAATACGTAAATACGTAATATTTACCCAAGCGACGCGTACTAACATTAAATTTACACCTATTTGCATTTTTATAATAGCAATATGTAAAGTAACTCCGGTATACAAGCGACATCTATCGAAAACTTAATTTATCAAATAGTATTTATAATGTTGTGAACACAAAGACAAATAAACTATAAAAAATAAAATCTTTATATTATCTTTTACTATAAAAAAATTACACAAAATCTTTATTCCTTAAAAAATTGAAAAACCGCTTGCATTTTTGCTATATGATTCATAGAAGTTGATTATATACATATATGACTATGTTTGGATAGGATTTATATTCATATTCATATTTATATAATTCATACACAAAAATCCTGAACTATAACTTTCTTTCTTCAAATAACATCTTTCAGTATTTACTTATGTAAAACACATTAAAACATTATGCATTAATCTTTAGACCGCCGGCATTTTTCCATTAAAATAGTGTATTTTTTCTCAAATATTCGTGTATATTAACATGTATGTATATTGATGAAATAATAATAAGGCAAAAGTAGCAAAAGTGCGTGAGGAAACTGCTGAGATTAGCTCGCTGGATAAAAGTTTAGTATTGCGCAACTGCTGTAGTACGAAGCACATAGATATTCTACACGGTAAACTTGTCATATATCCCAAACTGACGAGATATGTAAGACAGCTAGTTGAATAAAGAATACAAGAACTACGTTCTTATAATTTGCTATATTCCTTTAGTATTCTTCTATATTTATATATCGCAAAATAACTGCTAAACATTTAATAAACCTTGTAGAGAAAGAATAATCGCTTTATACATATATCCGTGCAATATGATTGCGTTACTTATCGCTGACATTACACTGACAAATCGATCAAACTGACCATGACTTTTTATAATAGTAACAAAAAAAAGCTAAAATCACAACACAATACTAATATATATTACAAAACACGTAACAAAGTGATTGCACGCAAATTATCTTTATTCTTTCTATTTTTTCTGAGCTATGCGATATAAATCCGACGCGACTCAAGCCTGAAGTAACCTTATACACAAAATGTGGATTATACTCGGAAAATGCGTTTCAAAATATCAAAGAAAAAACTTTTTGAAAATGCAGACGCAAAAATACGTCAAACTATTTCTGAAGGATCGAATGTGTTACTTTTTAGTACGTTTCATCACCTGCAACAAATATATTTAAGAAAATAAATTTTATATGTTGATATTTTAAGAATTTCTCGTTATTGATTCGTGACTCGTTATAAACAAGTGACTCGTTATAAACAAGTAATTTGATAATTAAATCTTATTGAAGCTCGAGAAGTTACTAAACTATGAAATATATCTACGGTCATACGAGCCGATCGCAGGATGTTGTACGGAAAAATGCATATATATATATATATATATATATATGCGCAAAATGCGTACATATATATATATATTTGTTCGCGTGTAAATTTTTACACGCGAGTTTTTTTTAATTGAATTTCAATTCTTAAATTCATATCGGATGCCGGATTTGCATCACACATATGAGAGATCCCGTTTACCCCCTAACTAATTTTTAAAATATTGCGAAAAAATACTCCTCAGCCAGAATTAAAATTCAATTAAAAAAACTAGCGTGTAAAAATTTACACGCGAACAAATATATATATATACGCATTTTTCCACACAACATCCTGCGATCGGCTCGTATGACCGTAGATATATTTCATAGTTAAGTAATTTAATATTTATATTTGAAACAAGAAAATAACCAATCTCAATTTACCAAGATGACTTTTCTCATTACGGCAATCTGAAATCTAAGGCTCAAGTCTATAAGTCCACAAGTAGGTCACGCGAGAATCTACTGCCGAAAAGGGATAATCTTTATTTGTTAACTGAGAACGGAAGGCAATTTGTAAAGCACACCACCCATCTTCAGTTTTCCTCGGAAATAAGTTTCAAATTCACATCGAAGCAAAGTAACAAATTCGATCTAATTACGGAACGTAATTCCAAGAATCAATAAAATGTTCCTTCTCTTAATCAATAGATACAAGCCATGCAAATATTGTAAGCATAAATAATAAAAATAATCAATTGAATTCCAAAATACGTTCGAATTTTAATTGCGCACAACAACACCGAGGACTGTTAATTCTGATTTTAACCCTTTGCACTCCGCTGTCCCCTCTCAGGGGACATCGTAATTCTAGCATATCACTCGGATGTTCCCTCTCAGGGGACATTCAAGTTTATTAGTGATTACGGGAAATTGAGTTATTTCAGCGCAACTTTTTGAGACATGCATGTTTCCCTGAAGTTTTCTCTTGAAATGGCACAAGAAATCAAATCAAGAAACGTCCAGAATCGTTCGGAGTGCAAAGGGTTAAAAACAAACGTTTATAAACAATAACTTTAACTAAAATTAAAAACAACTGAAGATTTGATGAAAGAAGATTTAAGATTTAGATTTTAATTTGGAACATAATTACGAAGCAGAAATGCTGCCAGTCATAATTGTTACGAATATAAATGCTCACCTGAAGATAAGGTACAGCCTTGCAGAGATTCAAGCCCAGGAACCAAGTCTCCGTAACATCCCAGACGACCGACGGTGGCAAGCAAATAAGCAGAACAAGAAGATCGGCCACCGCGAGATTGACGATGAAATAATTGGTCACGGTACGCATCGAATGATTCCGATAGACAGCCATGCAGACGAGCGCGTTGCCGATCAGACCGACCACAAAAACAATACTATGCATACCGATCAACACCCAGTCGGAGAGTTTTGGAAATATATGATCCATCATCAGCCCGATGTAATCCTCGTCTGAGATGCAGTAGTCGTTGGTGCAATTTGTGATGTTCAACTGGAAATCCTCATAGTTGTTCGAATAGTAATAATCCGTGTCATCATCCATTGTAGCATCATCATCATCGAACGCATCGCTCGAACGTGACATTATCAATGCCAGGTAGGCGACAGACACAGCGAGATTCATGTTTTAAATTGTTATTGCATCTTCAGCTTGTTAGAAATTTGAAGAAATCAATCACTTGTATGTCAAAATTATATATCTATATATATATATATATATATATATATATATATATATATACATATAATTATTAATTGACATTATAAACGATAAGTGTCATTCTACGATGCCATGACAGGATTTAGTGAAATAAATCATTCCCGTCAAATAAATTACACAACACGCAAACATAAAAGTCTCTTCAGAGAGCAATACGTTCAGAGACGTATTGCTTGCGGACGTTCTTTTTTTTTCTCTTCTTTCCACCGCTTGCGCGACCCTAGCGCGACCTCAGCGAAGAATATCTTTGAGACAGAGATTATGCATTCATCTTCAAAGCACGATGTAATCAGCTTCGTCAATGCACAATGAAGGTGACGCTTTCGAAATTGAATCGTTGATTTTTTACGCTATATAGGTACACAAAAGAGACATCCTCACTCAATGCACTTTTGAACACATCGTAACTTCAATAAAAACTTCCCAATTTGTTTTGCATAATAGATATTTAGTCAGTTGTGTATCTTAAATGACCCACTGGATTTTGAATGTATCGGAGTCCGAATCTGTCAAATTCATGTTTTTTAAAGTTTGTTTCAGATCTAAATTATTAGTATAGCTCTATAATATATTCCGGCAAATTACATAAATTTGTATAGAGATTAAAGTTCAATCCATCTAGAAATTTTTTCCAATCCCTTTCAATCAAGTTTATCTAAAAAGAAGACTCCAAAAAGTAGTGGGAGTAACGTGAGATTAATAGAAAAAATACAAAAAAAGTAGAAGAACCAATTGTACACAAAGGGACAATGTGTTCAAAAAGAATCGCATTGATGGTTAGAGCGCGGTAAATAATATATACAACGCAAGTACGAAAAATTCAAAGAAAAAGGATTGCGCCGATATTCTTGGCTTTAATAATAGATGCGATATTCGACAATTGTTCAATTGTCGAAAATATTCCTAGAATTCTTGTATCTGTAACTATCTTTGTCAAGCTTGTTGTAAACTTATGAAGCGGAACTGACGCTTAACTTAATCGATATGATCGATAGAGCACTTCGAAATTACGCAGATGATTGAGAGAGAACGACATAATGGCCATCGGCGAATAAATCCAATCAGTATGTGCGCGGAAAGCAGCAAATGAAGTGAAGATGAGACACATAAGCGAGGCAAATGACCATAGAGTACCTAATAGTACGAATAAATCAACTCTTATGGAAAACGTCAGAATTGACGTAAACTGGTTGATTGTCATTATAGTAAAATAACGAAAATTTATATATGTAGTTCTGTCATCAAAAATATCATAATTAAACTATTCGCGATTTTGATAAGCAACATATATTCTTTGTCAATCAATTTGATATTTAAAATTCCATTACTTTTTTATAAAGCTGTAAATATTTACACACACACTTATAATATGTATGCAAATCTTTTTCTTTCAGCGGACTTGAAAAAGGTTGCGGTTTAAATTAAAGCAAAAACGAGTTTCGTAACTTGATTCTTTTGCAGTTTATCGTTATTTTACACGCTAATTAGCATGCTACTAAAAAGAAATATATATATATATTTAAAACAATTTGTATTTAATTAGTTTAGTTAGTTTCAGTAAAGTTTTTTACACGCTTAAAAGCTAATATAGTACGATAGTATAATAAAATAGGTCAACGGTAGCCATGACAGATATATAGAATTATGATATTGATGATAGTAACAGTGTAAGAGGAAATAAACGCGAATAATTCTAGATAGATAGTAAACTCTTTTTGTCAGCAATAATGCACCTTAATTACGCATTTTTATTTAACTTTATTATTAAAAAACTTGAAAAATAAAATATACAGCATACAATTTATTAAATAAAAAATACTCGACAACTGACTAAAAACAAATTTTGAACAGGAAAACTATTTATTTTTTTATAGTCATAATATGTATTTATATTACCTATATGTTACTTTTATTTTTCTATACGCATTTCGTCAGTTTTTCTGAAATACCAAAGGTATAGGATATGAAATACTACAAACTGATTGTTTATATATATATATATATATATATATATATATATATATTAAATCTATACTTTTATACATATATATATATATATATATATATATATAAAAGTATAGATTTAATTAACAAAATATCACTCTTATGTAGTTATAAAATAAAATACCAATTCACGGATAGTTGACCCGATATTGTAATAGAAGATGATCTATAGCACAAATATCATTAAGGTATAAAATAAACCATGCTTCACATTGAATGACAGGTGTTTTGTTATCTATTTATATCTCCTAGATCAAATTCGCGTGGAATTATCTCAAATAATACTGAGAAACTCTCTGTTAACATATTATATTTTTATTGAACAGACTCTTGAACGCAAATATCACTAATCGCAAGCTTGAGCGATATATTTACTTTCCACGAACTGTAGGATTCTCGCTAAATTTGTCTTTACATGACTGCAGTTTGTACATTAATAGTGCAAAAATAACAAAACTTTATAGAAAATTATATGAAATCTTATGAAATGTTCAAAATTATAATACTTTTTCTCGCGTTACAATTTACTTAAATCTTGCAGTTAATTTAATTAATTCTTTTTAGTCGTTGGCGGAAAAAGAAAACCTGATGCAATTTTTGTTATTTTTATTCAAAACTTTTTACGATTATTCTTTCTGTCCAATCGCAAGAAGTTCTGAAAAAGTGTTAATATTCTCATAAAATTGAAACTCTTTCTTTTGTTTTATCACGATGTAATACAAATAACGAAAACGTTTCCTTGTAAAATTATTTCATGGCTTTGCCAACAATATTCGAGACGACATTCTCTCAAACGTTTTTTGTTTTTTTTTTCAATCAAAATTACCTGGATTTATACGTTAATCAATCAAAGTTAACTGAATTTTGCTTCTTTTTCTTGTTCCAATTGTAAACATGCCGCATCCATTAACATACCTTCTCTAATAACAAATTTCTCTGTTAAATAACATGATCACATATCTTTAAACAGTTTTGGTTTTTGCAAGCGATTATATCGTCGCAATCGACTGTGCAAGCAAGACAATACTCTTCTCCTAAATATACAAGAAATCGGAGTGTTAAATGCACACAAATTCACGGGAAAAAATAAAAGTTTCTGTGACAAAGTTTTTGTGTCTGAAGATTAATTTAGCTTTCAATATGTGTATGTGACGTTTGTTGTCGGCGGTACAACTGCGAAAATGTAGCTTTGAATAAAAATATACACCCCACCTGTATGCCGAAAATTCATTATATATACATATATATTTCGCGTATTTGTGAACTCAACGCAAGAAAACATCTTATTCTATATCAAGCATATATTTCTATATTCTGCACATTATAATTATATACCATTATATATATACATATATATAATGTTATATATAATGTTATATATATATATATATACATATAATGTGCAGAATATAGAAACATATACTTGATATAGAGTAGAATGTTCTCTTGCGTTGAGTTCACAAATACACAAATTATATATCGACTTAGGATATCTCGCGTCACTCCGTGCTGATTTATCGTTGCGGGTATTGCAGTTGAGTATAAACTTTGTTTGCTTGTTGCAATATGATATCAAAGATTTTTATTCAACAATATCAAAACGAAAACTAAATTCAAAATTTGCGAGAATTAATTGATGCACAGTGTTTGCTCTCTCTCTCTCTCTCTCTCTCTCTCTCTCTCTCTC